AGAAAAATCCTAAGAAAATATGGGCGTAAGTTGCAATTTGGTTGAGATATCAACTTCTTAACTACAATCTTCCTATAGGACTTGACTTTTTCGATAAAATCAAAGTTTCGAGTTTTGACCTGAAACTTTACATACATCAAGGTCTCAGTCAGACTAGCTTGCCTACGAAGTTTCAGAATTCTTGGATAAATTATCTCTAAGATACCAGTATGTTAGCTGATAGATGCTTTCTTATAGATATTGTATTATGCACGAATATTTTGGGAAATTCATATCTCGGAGATAATTCATCTCGAAATTCTGAAAATTTGTAGGTAAGCTAGTGTGATTGAGAACTCAGTGCTTGTAAAGTTTCAGACTAAAACTTGAAACTATAATTTCACGGGATAAGTCGAGTCCTATAGAAAGATTATAGTAAAAAGTCGATATCTCAGTCAAGTCGCAACTTGCACTCATATCCTCCTAGAGTTTTTCTAGTATGTACATCTCCTACTTATGAGTAACATTTGAGCTAGAAGCTTTTCAGCATCTGGAGAGATCTCCTCGTGAGGCTGGGATCTGGACTGGACCTATGATCGAGACCGATGAAAAAAAGGTCACCGAGCCCTGGACCAAAAAACCTTGGTCCTGTACATATTCTCTCTTGACTGTGAAAAACTTATATGAAAAATGGCTAAAAAAAATTTCCTGTTGTTTTTTTCATTTAGAGCAGGCAGCAGTTTCAGATGGTCTATCATTTTTATCAGTAAGTTCTTGTATATATATTATAGTTTGTCAAACATAAATTTTTTTTTTCTTGAATAGTTATATTTACTATTGTTTATTTATCTGTAACTCAATTATCAAAAGCTAGTGTATATGGTATTGTGAATATATTTACTGTTGAATTTGATGATGGATCTAGAGAAAATTTCAATGAAAATTCTAATGATCATTTATTACTTGAAAATATTTCTCAAAAAGAATATGAATTAATAAATACAAAATTAAAAATATTTTTTGTTCAAACATCTGAAAATGATGATATTATTTCTCGTCATGCTTGTTCAATAGAATCAGCTGCACGTCTTCATCCTAATGGTTTAATATTTGTACTTATGCGTAGTAACTATATTCATTTAAAAAAAGGCTCATATATTCATTTACGTTCATATAATAATATTTATTTTGTTCATTTTAATGAACAAGATATTTATTCAGGTACATCGTTAATACGATTAAATAAAACTAAACGTAAACAATATATACATTATTTTAAAATTTCACACATGAGTGATTTTATTCGTACAGCACTTTTATATAAATATGGTGGAATTTATTTTGATCTTGATGTAATACCATTAAAAAGTTTTCAACAATTTTCCAATACTGTTGGACTTGAAACAAATCATGGTGTTAATGTGGCTGTTTTAATTTTTGAAAAACAACATTTAGTATTAGACTTACAAATGGATAAACAATTAGAATCTATTGAAAATCAATTTCATGCATTATGTTGGAGTTGTCTTGGACCATCAGCATTAACAGATGCTTTAAAAAATGTTTGCGATCAACATCAGTTATATATTCATGATAAAGATAAATGTCATCAAATTGATATACTACCGTCATTTGTATTTTATCCAATGTCTTATCAAGTATATTTATCTTTATTCTCATATAGAACAAATAAGAATAATAAAGTATACAGAGTAGAAGTATGCATCCCATCCGGAATCACAGAAATTTTTGACTCGGGCTTAAACTGACCTTATCAACCTTATACAAAGCCTTATTCCCTTAATTAGTTGCTATATTCCGTAATGCTGACCAGAACGGCGTAGTGTTCGGCAGAGCGACACCGTGCTGAGTTGCTGCGCAGTACGTCTTAACGAAGATGTATACTACTCAGCATAGATGGAACCGGTACCAGCAACCGGCCGGTCTACCGTTATTTACCGACCTAACACAGTCTGTTACAGATTTTTTTCAGAAAAATTCTCAGTCATCGGCGCCATCCAGCTGATACAGTCGCATCGCCGTCGATAGCCAAAACAAAAAAATGTTAAAGATTCTCAGCCGTCACCGATGCTGCACAAAAAAACACATTCAAGTTTCGCATATTTTGGACATTCCGGATCAGTTTTCGTGAATGTACTTACCAAGAAAAAGAGAAGAAAATCTGATTTTTAGTCGGCTTTTTGTGATTTAGAATTGATTAAAATAAAATGAAATCTGTCTTTATACTTGAAAACCAATTTTTAATCGGTTCAATCAAGAAATCACTGATTTTAACTTATTTTATCAGGATTGTTTTTGTATAAGTATTGTTTGGTATAGTAGACCCGCATTATAACATGTATGCTAAAGAGTTCCAGCGTTGTATTTATCATTTGCTGAGCCAAGAAGTCTAAAGAACTATTCAAAAATTTGAGCTTCTAAATAAAAACTTGAGAAAACATATTTTAAGGTAACTGTGATTAAAATCAGTCAGAAATTGAATAATCTGATTTTAGACTAAATGTTATTTTTTAACAGCCACCACCGCCGATCAACTCATCACCTTACATCTCTAGTCCAGATCGGTGCTGGTCGTCAAAAAACTAGACTGGTTTCATCTATACTGCTCAATACTACGGAATATAGCAACCAATTAAAGAAATAAGGCTTTTTATAGGCATTGATGAAGTCAATTTAAGCTCGGGTTGAAAATTTCTTGGGTCGAAATTTCAGTGTCTCACAGATCGTGTCAGCCGTTGCTAATACAGTATATAAATAACGTCTCGTTATAATACATGAACTATGTTCTCATTACATTTTGGAGGATTAAATAAAAGAATGGTGAAGAAATGTTTCTGAAAATAGATAGAATAAAGACAATCTTCTTGTAATTGGAAAGAGCAGCTACATCGTGTTTCATATTATTTTAATCCTGTAGGGATTATGCTAATAGCTTTTTTTTTGTTTTTATTCTAGCAAATTCCGCAACTCTTCCGTCGTTCAAAAGAAAATGTAAATTTTCTATTAAAAAATTCAAGTATATATTCAATACATTATTTTCATCATATGACAATGAATTTACCAATTGAAATAATGTCACCATTTGCTCAAATAGCTGAAATCTATTGTCCAAATGTATATAAAGAATTAATTGATCAAAATTTATCAAATCAATCATCAAAATATTTTTTCACAAATATAAATATATTTTTATTATGTTTATTCATTACATTTTTATGTATTTTTATATTTATATTAATTAGTCATTTTTTATCATACATTCGACTGATTAGAATGAAATTATTTACAATACAACATAAATTTCATAAATTATTGTTTTGATTATATTTATCGTGATGAACAAAAAAACCAATACACTGTGTGTCAGATGTGTAGTGTTGAAGTCAATTGTTGTAAAAGATTTCTTTTTTTTAATCATATAACCGTGAATCAATGAATATGTGTTATTTTTTTTATCTGTTTTTTTTTTGTAAAATTCGCATATATTTTTTAATGAATTCCTATGGGATATAAATATAAAATACGATGCTTAAGAAGACGAACAGAAGCAAACATCTTGTTTTTCGTACCGTGTGTGACATGAAAGCAGACTAATTTTCTCACTGTGTTCCATAGAAAATATTGAGGTGAGATTTTTTTTAAATTACACCTGTCTGCTTTAGTTATATTAATCGTGCGGATGAATACTTGATTTTTCTTTATGAGCTTTCAAAATCATTTATATTGAAAAAAATCAAGGTTATTTTAAAACTTCAGATTTTGTAATAAAAATATCCATATTGATTCTAAATTTTGAGGATATTCTATCATGTGTCAGATTTACTAATCGGAAAATTTGTATTTTCTCTAAATCGTATAATGTAATTTTTCTCAAGCTATATCCAAACCAAAATTTGAACAGAGATAATCAGGAATTTAACTTTTACTGGTTCTACTACCACATACATATGGACAGATTATCATCACGTTGAAAGTGATTTGATACTCTTATGCGTATAGAACATCTTAGGTATGGTTTTCTATTAATTCAGCTTCCTTAAAAGATCTTCTCCAATCATTTTAGAGCATTTCACGAATGACAAAAATATCGGCAATGGATTTTAAATTGTTCTGAATAATGCATCTGTTAATTATAAAAATAATAGATAATCTGTGTTTTATAACTGGCATTCAATAACATATTGCATATATCGAGATAAAAGATTATGTACTGATCAGAAAACATCACAAGACTGCTTTCTTCATCCTCTTTTGCAGGACGCAGAACCAAGGCAATAAAAAGTTCGCCTTTACAGAACAAAGGATCTCCTTGCTTTCGATCTTTTCATCGCATTTTTGATAAGAATAAAAACTTGTCTGTCCAGCAAAAATGAAATCAACAATGAAAAAAAAAAGAATTATTTGACATCCATAGGATGAACAAAATAAATAAAAAGATATGTGATTCAAAATGTAATCCATAAAAACAGACGAACAATAAGAAGAAATAAGTTCGACTAGAGTTGGATGTCAAGCAGGATTCAAATATTGCCTTGTCGAATCCGAGTCCAAAACTTTTGGATCCGACAGACTCTACCTGTAGGTTCTGCGTCATAAAAACAATTGTCATGTTTCTCCATGTGCAGAACAAAATGGATTATCTGAAGGGCAAGTTTTTCGTTCTATGGTGTTCTCTAGTACCGATCGAGTTCGAAGACAAGACAAAAATTAATATAATTCGCAATTTATCATAATGTGTTATTCATAGTAACTACATTGATAGAGCAACAAGAAAATAAATAAATGTCTATTTGACATACAAATAATATATAAAAGAAAATTTCTCAATCTACTATACATCTTCAAAAGAAATTACGTTTTATTAATAATACTCAAGATTATAATACATAAAAGTATTTAAATTCGAAATAGGTGCACATCATATTCGAAATTTAAAAAGAAAAAGTATATATTAAATACAAAGATAAAAAAATAATTATTTATTAAATTTTTTTAAAATTTTAGCCATTATGAGTTTGAATATTTGGTCTGATACTAGAAACAGAATATTGTGAATGACAAGTATTACATTTAATCACAGTTAAACGATCTGCTTTTCCTAATAATGTATCTGGAGAACGACATGTTTTGCAAAAGACATACTCTTCTATAAAAAAAAAAAAAAGAAAAACAAAACAAATAATTGAAAAATTTTTATAAGAAAATGAAATTATCTTACTTATAAACGAACGAAGAATATTTTCTATATGGGTTTGTTGAAAACGTCCTTTTATAATTAAAGCATGATTTCTATCGATAGAAGCTCTAAATAACAAACAAACAAAAATAAAATAAAATAAGAAATAACGAAAATATTTTTTTGTTACTTACGTTGTACCTAATTCGACCACAAAATAGTCATGTAATTGTTTTTCTTGCCGTTTAAGTCTAAAAATTAAATAAATTTGTTTTTTTTTTTGCTGTTCATATAAAAAATATACAATCGAATAACTCACAATGCGCATATTGAAGCAAAATTTAGAAATGCTGTACGTTTTGTACCAATACGTCCCACTTGTACTGGTGGAAGAATCAATCTAATTTTATCTGATGGATCAGGGCTTGTCCCAGTCGTTTCATTAATAGTTTTAAATACTCGAGTAATCAACTATCAAGAAAAAAAACATAAATTATCTAATTTAAATGAATGAAGACAAACAATAAAATATTCAAACTCTTATTCCAACTCACAGATCATGATTAGGAATGCAACGATGATGATGATCGCTGATGTCATCATAGACCGATGTGAATCTCAAAATCTTCAGTCTATTTTTATAAAATTCAGCTATTTCCTTGAAATGACCTCCTTGACCGAAATCAATTCAAGACCACTACCATTATTTTATAATACGTTCAACATCTTCACTGTTAGTCTGTATGTAAGACTGGTGCACTGTCACTATCGCATCCATAATCATGATAAATACTTTAAGTGTACAAGTAGATTCTTTTAGACGTTAAGTTCAATAATGTTTTTATAAAAGTCTGTTCAAATACATTGATACAAATAGACTTAAGGTAGCTGCGGGTCCTTCTAGATCTGGACCCGGTCGGAAATGAGTCCAGGCCCGGGTCTAACGTTTTATTTTTTGTCAGACCTGAGTACACTTTTTTATGAATTCTCTGGTCCCCAGATGAGAAATATACTAACAAGATATACCTCCACGTTGGGTTGTTTTCAGAGAGTGGCGGATAAATCGCTAAAAACTTGATTCCCTACTTGTCCATGTACACTAGAAGGGTGCCACATATTGATGGGAATAGCCTCGGATTTGAACCCGACCGGGTCCGAGTACAAATTTTAAACTTTTTTCGAGTCCGAGTTCACAAAAAAGTGGACCTACAGCTCCCAAGTAGACTTACATATTCATAAGTATAGTCGCTTTCAACCACTGCTGCATCATTAGTAGTTCCATCTCCAGCCACATTATCTATTGAATTTGTTGTTTCAGTTAGTGCATCACGCTTAATCCGATTTTTCGATTTCTTTTTCTTGTTCGTGTCGAAAAATGTCTAAAGAATAGATAATTACGAACATGACTGATTTAATAGAAAAAAATAACATTAACTTACATCGTCGGTTATACTATCGTTAGTAGTCATTGTTTTGGTATTTATCAAATCTAAAAAAAGAAACTACTGGATTATATCAGCTGTTTTTCTTTATACTATATGATAGATTTTCAAAGTAGAATTATAAATAAAAGAACTTTTATGTTTAGTATAATCATGGAAAAGAAGTAATCTATACGAAATCAGAATGATTATAAAAGAAAATATCCATTATCTATCTTCTAAATACGTTGCCAACCTCAAATAAAACGAATTCTATTAAGAAAACTTAGCGGTGTTGATACACTACTTATTACTGTCAGTTATTCATGTACTACTCACCAGCTTTACTATTAATCTCACCATTGCATCTTTAGACTAGAGATATGCAAGATTACCCTATCCTGGAAGGTAACAGTTAGAGAATTTTTCTCGGTCAGAGTACACTACGAGTCTCTAGCAATAATTGATTTCGAAGACAGTTGTATTTATAATTCAATTCTTTATGATGATGCACGTAATCATTGATGATGCAATCGAAAGAAATTTATTGCATATGGGGAAAAATCCAACATTGACTAATACTGACCTCTATTTCAAATAGAAAACAAGATTAAAATAATTTTTCTTTTTCAATTAAAATATTTCAATATATTATCTTTTCTTTTTATTAAAATTAAATATGAATTTATTTCTTATCATTTCTATATTAAACTAATAATTTCAATTGTTTACTTTCTCAAACTATATTTTGTTGACATTTTGTTTATTTGCTTATATTAATAAGAAGATATAATCTCTGTTTTCTTTTGTCTATACCCAAAAAAAAGTACTTTTATTAAGTTGATGTACCATATATTATTCTTTTTTGATTAATTCAAGTATTTAACTGTACAGGTGAATGATTTGTAAAATAAAAGAAGAAAAAAAAGATTTTTGTTCCGTTCTTTTCTAGTTCAAATTGATCCATATGATTATCGTCGTATATTTCTCCACCATTGATGGTGCTTTAAAATAATAATAAAAAAAAAACAATAATTAAATGGCGGATATTATTGATTCATGTTGTGTAAATATACAAATGACAAAAACTGATAAAAATAATAATACAACAGCTCCTATTGATGATGGTTTGAGAAAAGACAATGACGCAATAAATATTAATTTTGTTTTGTTTTTTTTTAGGAATTAGTTTACCGTCTGAACAGTGTGATGTTTTACAGAATGGAACTAATGATAAATCCGACAATGTAAGCTATTTTTTAATTCAAAATATGATAATAGAGTATTGCTATTTCCTATATTAGAGTACTTTTGATATGGTATATTGACCTTGATGAGGATAGCATTCTTTTGCTAACAAAAATCATCTGTTCTTTATATGGTTCATATGAGATTTGATTGAAAACTAATCTTTTTTTTTTTTCATAGAAACCGTAAAAGATATGTATGAGAGTGCATTTTGCTGTCATTACAAGCTATCAACATTGCAGAAGTGTTGAAAGGTTCCTATTGATATATACATTAGTGTTTTTACAAATGCGTAGAATCTACCACTAGAACAAAAAAATGTCCTTCAACCGGAGAAAATAAAATTCTAAATACCTGACGAACATTACTAAAGCTGTAAAAAAAAACTAAGATTGACTTCGAAACAAATATCATACAGACACTCATGATTACTTTAATATTTAATTATACAAAACACTTTACAAAGTAAATATCAAGAAGACTATTGTTATCTTTTATAAATTAAAACCGAGATAACCGTGGATGTCCGTGAAGCATCCGTAGGTATTCGCAGAGTACTCATGAATGCCCGCAGAGCTCTCATCAATGTTCGCGGAGTGCTCATGAGTGTTTTCGAAGTGCTCATAAATATCCGCAGAGTAGTCAAGAGTGTTCGCGGAGTGCTCATAAGTATTCGCGGGGTGCTCATGAGTGTTCGTGGAGTGCTCATAAGTGTCCGCGAAATGCCGATGGTTGCCTGTGGATGTCTATAATTTTTACAGGTACTCAAAAAAGTTCTCCTACTATCGAACTGAAGGAAACATTGGATTTTTCTCTTTTTGCTTGTATATCCGAAGAATGTGAACGAGAAATTGATTTACTTAATATACAAAAATACACCGTTGTTAATCATGAATTTTAATACAAGTAGTTTTTCCCTTTTCCAAAAAATAAACCTAATGATTTGTATGGTTAAATAAAAGAACAAGCTGTGTACTATTCGAATTCTCCAATTTGAAATATTTCACGTAACATACATGTAAATCCTGTACGTGTGGTATTTTTTTCTCACAGACATCGTCAATGAAATTTGTATTAAGAGATTCATATTGACCATAAATAACTTGATTAGAAAATTTTTGTTTTTAAACAAAGATTAAATATTGATATCTTTTTTCTAGACGGATTATACCGATAATCATCGTCTTTCAACAAACGATGATAATACAACAAATGTTGTTTCATCATCTACTGATGAAAATGATAAATCAATAAATATCGAATTATCTAATGATACAATAAATCCATATAAAGATTTTTCTGGTATTGATACTGAATCTTTTATAACAGCAACATTACGTAATAATCCCAAAGATCGAACATTATTATTAAGTCTTGAAAAAGTTTTTCAACAATTTATTCAAAATGAAGAACAAACAATACATCAATTTCAAGCAATGAATTCTTGTAAAAATTATATTTGAATTTTTTTCTTTTTTTGTTTTTTCTTTTCAATTAAAATTCTTTCTTTTTTTTTTCTTTTGTTTTTTTTTTCGTAATATAGATGAACGAATGATTGTTCATCGTGTAGCTGCTTTTTATGGTCTTGATCATAATGTTGATAAAAATGGACAATCGATCATTGTTACTAAAACACCAAATACTCGAATGTATGAAAAACAAAGATTGTTTTTGCTTATCAACTCAATTTTCTTCTTATTCTAGTCCTAATTTTTCATTTCAAAATTTTATTCCCAATGATGAATCATCTAATGGTGCTATAACAACATCAAATTCATCAATTGAAAATACAACACGTCGTATAACACGTCGAAATGAAAAAAATCCTAATCAAAAAACATCTTTCGAACGTACTAATCATTATAATGAAACACGTGATAGAATAGCAAATAAATTAAATCGAAAACAACAACGTTTTCATACAAATCATCATACACAACAAACAAATATTCAACCATCAACTCATATAATAAATACAAGAAGTAAATAATTATCATTCACATTTTATTTTTCCATCTATCTTCATATATAGATCTCTTGAATTAGCATAAAAAAAAAAAGAATTCAGTGATTTTATTATTATGCATCATTCTAATGCTTTTGCATATGATCAAACGTATTCTATTGGGATATGTTTTCTATTCTTTTCTTTTTCCATCAGAAAAATGATGAAGAATAAATTGTTTAAAAAAAAACTTAATTCTTTATTTTAGCTCAACAAATTTATCCTGCAACATTAAATTCATATTATCCACAACAACAGCAACAACAACAATTAATTGATCATCATTTTAAACAACAAACACCTGGTTCACCTATGTATAATTATGTACCAATGATATCTCCAACAACATTTCAACATGGAAATAGTATTCCATTACCTATATTACTTCATCAACAACCAACTGGTCAAATTCAATATGTATTTCCTACACATAGTTTACAACAACCACAACCATTATCATTTGATGGACAATATTTACCTGTAAGAATAAAATAAATTTTTTGATACATAAAATAAAATCATTTTTATTTTTGAGGTTTATCGATCCGATGTTATACCACCAGTTGTTGATAATAATAATCCTTATTCTCAGCCACCTTTTGTTCATTTATATCCAACACATTCTTATCCTCAAACACAACAAACAACATTTATTCAACCAGGTTAAAATTATTATTTTAATATTTAATATTTTATTTTATTTCTAATAATTATTTTAGCTCCGTCTTTTATGATTCCACCTAACAATTCAACATCAATTCAATATGCAACAAATCAATTAGCAACATTAAGTTTACAATCTCAATACGATAATTCACGTTTTACACAATCAAATAATATAATAAAACCTTTTGTTCAATCATCAACAAATGGATTAAATCGAATGCCTTTTTATCATCAATATCGTCAAAACCGTCCATTAAATACAAATAATGCTGATAAACAAATAACACCAATCGAGAACGATATGAAATCTACAATGAATAATAAATCTGATCAGATTTCATTATCTGAATCAACACATGAAAAAGATTGATTAAATTAATTTACTAGTCAATCAATATTTTCATTATTATCTTGTATTATCTCAGGGTTTAAAAATTTGTGTAAATGTACGAATCTCGATTGTATGTGTGTGCATAATAACTATCTATATATTTTTTTCTTCTTCTTTTGTTAGTGTTGTTCTATAAAGAACGACAAAAAAAAAAAAACGAAGTCAAAAACATAAATCTTGTAAACTAATGTGTAATTTGTTCATCTACGTTTTACATAAATATGAAAGATTTAAAAGAAAATAATTTGAAATATACGATGTAGTGAAAATAAAAAGTTTCTATATTGATTAAAATAAACGGAGAAAACAAAAACTTAATAAAAATGTCTTGCACAATTATCTCATATAAATTTCTGTGAATATCTATTGAAGACAATATCAATCGAATATTTTGATTGATTTAATCTATCATTAAAAGTCAAGAATATCTTCTAAATTGAAGATCGAAACAGGAATGATAAGTACGAGTACGTTCAGTACCAAAAAAATTAAGCGCGCAAAGAAAAGATTAAAATCAATATAATATCAACTAGAAGATCAATGAATGTATATGAATGTGGGTATTAGTCTTCTCTTCATTTCCATTCACATTCTTTACATTCATTTTTTTGCAAGCTTAATTTTTTGGTGCTGAATATTCTCGTACACTAATCTTTTATAGGTCTATCATAATTGTCAAAACAATAACTAATTGACAAAGGTTGAATTGTAAATTGAAATGATATCTAGGAATATTTTAATGACAAGTGTTCGAATTTCCATATCGAATTATTTAAAACAGAAGTGACATAAACATCTTTGAAGAATAAGAAAAAGAAAAAACGTCTCGACTGTTCGTCTCAATAACGATATTTACCGAAGTCTTTCTTTTTCTTTTCTTTCTAAATTTTTTTTTTCTCTTTTATTATTATATCTGAGTCGATTTTTTTCATCGAGTTATGTCAATAGGTGATACTGAATTGACAAAATGTATGAAGGTAAAAACCATTTGGCGTTAAAATCGGATAAAGTACAAGAGAGAAAAATTATAAAAAAAATCGAATAATTTTTTTTTTTACATATCAATCAAATCAATCTATTATGCTTGTTTTATTCTATAACAATCAATATTTCTACTTATTTTTCATTTTTATTACACAGACAATATCAATACCTATTCAAAAACATATTTCACAAACAATGATATGTAATTGGTCAATAAATAATTGTAGTTTATATCAGTATGAATTATTTTCTTTGAAAAATTTAACATCATTAACAACTAGAAAATATTCAACGACAACTTATCAATCTAATCAACGTAATTCATATACTTTTACTCTCAAACTTATTGGTATACTTATAGCTGTTTTTGTTTTTGGCATGATTATTATTCATGTATGTTATAAATTTTGTAATTCATATCGTTCTTCAAATAATTTATTATCAAATCGTCGTATGCCTGTGGTACGATCTCAAATAGCTACTATTGAACTATCTAATTTTAAACCAGATTTACCACCATCGTATCCTGATGCAATAGCTAATATTGATAATGATGAAAATAAATTACCATCATATAATGAACTACAAAATGTACGTAGTGAACTTTCAAGACAAACATAAAAAACAAACATTTGTTATTTTATTTTGTATCATTTTTTTTTCTTTTGAGAATATATAAAAAAATTTTATGATAATACCTGTTGTCAATGTTTATTATAGAAAAAAATAATAATCTGCCATAGTTCATTATTTGTTTCTATTAAATTTTACATTATTTTTCTATTGACACGTCATATTACAATGTCATTGTGGATAATGTCATAGTCTTCGAACTTTTTAATCATATATCTCGCGGATATGACTAATACTGACTCGTTGTATAAATGTCAGATTTAGAAGAGGGCACTGAGAACGATCAATTTCTCTCTCGAAAATTTTTTTCCTCAGAAGAAAAAGTGCGAAAACGATTCGATAGTATCATGAATGCAGTGTTTTATCTAGATTAAGGATCACCTCCCTCCAAATATCGGGTTAGACCTTCCGAAGTTTGTGATTATTATACTACGAACTATGTGTCTATGCTTTCAAAAATAGATACTTGCTGTCCCGAAGTTTTAAATCGTGCCTTCGAAATAGAAAATTTGCATAAAACACTGGTTGAATGAGCTTCAAAGCATGTTTTTTAAGTATTATCGAAGCCTGCTTTCTTTCCATCAAAATGCTTCCGTGTACTCAAGTCCTAGGTCTGACACTGGCTTGTACATCAATAGTTCTATTTAAAATTGAATAATCTATTGCATATTCGACCGTCCACCTTATAACCTGAAACTTGATTCAATTCAAGTTCCTGCATAAGCAATATGAAAAATTGCATGACCGACAAGAACAAGCAAAAGACGTTGTTGGATTTGATGATCTATCTTGAACAAGAACACCATATTTGTGGTTTTGTAGAGCAGTTTGGAGCACATCAAACGGTATATAAGAAATCCAGTTTTTGATGCTCTGAGGGTTCAATACTGGTTATAATCCTTGAGGAATATATGTGGTACTCATAGACATCGTGGGTCTTAAGGTGTTCTAAATTAAACTTATGCAAATTTTGCTTTTGAACTCAATTCGATATAGTTGTAGATGCTCTTTAATTTTCTATAATCAATAGTTTTCATTGTTACTTTCTTCATACTTGCAAATGGTCGCTTTTCTTAGGTCTAAGTTATTTCTTGACTATATCATATTCCATTATATGTTTTACATATAACATCTTTCGTAACAGAAGAAATGCATTGTCAACTTGCAAGATTGTCCTCGAGAATAGTCTACTTTCCTATATGAAGGGATCATGTATATTAACGGTACTTTAGCTAAACTGAACAATCCTATTAAAAACTTTTATATATCAATAATTAATACAGTATTCCTGATGAACTGAGATAGATAACTTCTTTATAAACGGAACATCTTTTTTGGCCTTCAGACTCCTGGAGACGAGTACGAATATAGGATCATAGAAAGGATGTCTGTTATTTTTATTATTTCTTTTTCAAACTTTTATTTCGAGTATTTAGGCCTGGTTTACGCATGAAACTCTAGAAGAATCTATAAATATTTCATATGCATTTCAAAAATAAATTTTTTCATATTCTTGTTCCCTCAGAAATCTCGAGGCCAAAAAATTTTTTTTTCATTTATAAAGAAGTTATTTATATCAGTTCATCATCGATGCTGTGCTGCTTATTGATACATAAAAGTTTTTAATAGGACTATTGAGTATCGTTAAAATATCGTCGATATACCTCGTTCTTTCATATAGGAAATGATCTCGCAATTGTTTCGAAAGATATTATGTGTGAAACATATAGAGCTCGATAGTGTACAATTTTTGAGTAAGTCCTATGTTGTACTCAATTGTTCTATGGTACAGGATTGATTGCACTGGAATATCATATAGTCAAGAAATAACCTAGACCTAAGTGAAGAAACTATTTTTAAGTATGAAGTAAATAACGATGAAAACTATTGATTATAGAAAATTGAAGAGCACCTACAAAGGTATCAAATTGAATTCAAAAGCAAAAATTTGCAAAAATTCATCTTAGAATATCTTAAGGACCACAGTATCTCTAAGTACCTTATATATAGTTCTCAAGGATTAAAACCAGTGGATGGACCTTCAGTAGTACATCAAAATTTGAGAAAAACTTGATTTCTTATATACCGTCCTTTGTCACTTCATTAACTGAATAAGAGTTTTCAAAAATGGGTTCATTTTTTTCAACGATTTACTTTTCACAATTACTTTTAAGATTGCTCTCATTCCTTATTAACAGACGTCAACTACACCAAAAGCTATGATATCATTTCGTGTATGTTTAAAGTATATGTAGAGAAGTAAGAATATATCAAACCATTCAAAGTACATTATCCGAAACATTTTTGTACAATTTGATAATGATATCTGTTAGTTTTATTGACAGAATTTCAATATTAACATTCCTTGTAAAAAATAGTATCAAAAGTATCTCTTAATCGATAATCTCAATAAATAAGTACACTGCTAAACATTTCAATTGAAGAACTCATTCGATATTTTTCCTGATTGAATTAAAGAATTAAGAAATCGTCGAAAGATAATTTTTATTAGTTATATACATATTCTATCATAATTAATTTAGCAAAATCCACTGAATCCAATTTATCGGATGAAATTGAATATGATATTCGATAAGCAAAATAATACGTAATATAAACTAAAAGACATTATGATAGAATATTATTTGAAAATTTTATATTTTATTTATTTCGAAAGTTAGAAAATATTTTCTTTCGAATCTGTTTAGTTGTAGTTGTAGTCGATGAAGACGGTAGTAGTTGATTATCGAATAATGCTGTTGATATAGATTGTTTTGTTGAAAATAATCCTTTTTTAGGTACAATTGGAGGAAGTTTAGTAGACTATATGAAACATATAAAGTTTGTTATAGAGAAAAGAAAAATTGAAAATATTACTTCCGTTGATGTCTTGACGTGATTTGAAAGTATATCTAATGGTTCATCACTATGCATAACAGTAATCTTATATCGACGATGTTTCATAGGAGTTGAAGAACATTGATGTTCATTAATAGCATTTGAATTAATTGATAAATTTTGTCTTATAACAGATGAATGTTTGTTGATATGTTCGATTGAATTTACATTAATTTTATCTATGTTTGATTGAAACTGAGAACTTTTCTTAGGAACAAGATCATGAGAGACTATTTTAGATTTTGCTATAGAAGAATGATTTTGTGAAAATGATTGTATTAAAGAATTATTATTTGTTGATGAAAGTATTTTTTCTTGATTAATAATACTTTGTTGATCTATTATGACTGGTATACTATTATATTCTAAATCATTTTGACTTTGAATACTATTCATACTATCAAATGATGATCGTAATCCTACGATGAATATGGGAATAAAAAAATTTGAATTAATGGAAATTTTTTTTTTTTCTTTTACCAAAATGAAAACTTTTTCGTTTAGTTTCTATTATATCAGATTCATTCGACGTATTTATTATTTCATCAATTGTTGATGATGCTATTGAAATATTTGGATAAAATTCTGATGAACGTCGACGTTCTTTATTCCGTAAATCATGAAGTTTATCTGTTAATCGTTGAAAAATTTCTTGACGATTTATTGATTGTGAACGAAGATATGAATTAAGTAATATAAGAAATATATCATGCCAATGACTTTCAGTTATTTGATATGTATCAAGATTTTCTTGAGAAAATAATTCTTCTAAAGCTTCTAATAAATTTGTCTTTTGAGAAGTTGTTATTGTATGTATAATTAAATCAGTTACCTACATTGTGTTTAATATATATATATACACTAAGGTGTAAATGTATTTGCCTTCAATGTTTCAACTATTTCTCAAGGTGGATGCAATAAATATGGAAACCGATCGTATTCACAAGTAAAATAGCACAATGTTCGAGAATCAGCCGATCGTTCCAGACACTTGCTTAAGCAAAAATTGCTTCAGTGCTCGAGTTTTGTATTTGAAAATCCTATCTTGCTCCAATCTCGAAGATAGGCAGTATTACCTTTTGGAGTTGGGGATGAGATGACCTGCAATCGTTTGAATGTAGTGGTAGTCGTTGACATTCTCCTGAATGGATACTCATGTCGCATGTTTGTTCACAATACTTTGGTACATCAGAGTTGGGCAAAATACTCGAAAAAGTCCGTACTTGTCCAGCTCTGCAGTACTTATAAAAATCGACAAGAGCACTTATGACTTTCGGTTCTAGTTACAAATGATTGCAGAGAGTGTTTTCTACTAAAATTCGAATTATTTATTAGAAAGAATTCAAATTAACCAAGAAGAAAATGGCTTCAGAATATGTTTTACGAATAAAAATTTATCACATAACTAGAGTTGATTTAGGCTCTGTGATTATTACAGGCAGCTCAAACGCATCAACATTAGCACAGTGCATCGAAAATGACCCAATTCCCCCAGCTTTAACAAACTTCAAAAATATTCATCTGTTTTTGATACAATATTTTCAAAAACATTCTCGGTAGTTATTACATGAGTACCTAGTCGACCAGGGTCATGATACTAAAATCATCATATTTCATGATTTTTCTCTTCGTTCTTTAGAAATCATCGACTCTTGAATTCTCTGTCAATGAACATTCTTCAGCTCCAATTTTCATCCTTGAGTTGAATTGATTTTCTGACACTCGCATCCTTCTGTTGGTATTGATATCGTATAGAGCTAAGTATTCTTCCGATCAATTCGTTTGAGTTTGTGCTATAACTTCCGCAAGGAATACATGTCTACTTGCATCATCAAACGGTTTTGTGTTCTGAAAAACTTCCAAAAAAATTGCTTATTCGAGGGCAAAGACTTTTACATGTTACTGTAAATGAATTATTTATTTTAAAAAAGAAAAAAGAAAAATGATATTCACCGTTTGAGATGTTGATGTAGATTCTATAGATTGAAAATCAAGTAATGATTGATTACGACGTTCAATAAAACCACTATTGAATGTAGATATACCTTTGGGTACTTTTGATTCTGGTTGATCTAATACTACTTTGGATTTTACCATAGCATCTTCTATTGATATTTTTCGTTGTTCAACACGTTTAGCTGGTGTTATTACTGACTGACGACCTGTATGACAATAAACAATCGATGGCTGATATTCAGTAGGAATTTGAGCATGTATTTGAATATTTCGTTGAATACATTCTTCATACCATTCAAGTGTTTCTGGTGAATCACGCATCTAATATCAATAATTATATTAAAATGAATCTATATAAGATATCGGCAATGCGAAATTTGAACAAAAAAAAATTTTTTTTTTATTTCGAATTGTTGACATCTTAAAATAATTTTTTTACTTGTAATTCATCATCTTCAATATGAATAATTTCTGATTCATATATATTTGTAGATTCGATAATATCATTATAAGTTCGTGATGGAACAATAAAATGCTATGAAACAAAGTAAATCAATATCAATTGTCGAAAAACAAAATTAATCTTTCATTTACGGTAGCATCATTAATCATTGGCATATGAAATAATTGTGAAACAAATTCAGTCATTTCTTTTATTATTCGAGATTTGGGTGAACGAGGAAGTATAGATTTTTCTTGATAGATTTTATTTGCAATAGCTTTTGGTAATATATAGCATATACATATATGACTGTTTTTAAAGTTCATAATTTTCTTACCTTTTGTTTTAGTGTCAGCATATTCTTCAGGTATACCAACCACATAAGTCTGTGCTATATGTTTAACATTAATCATACGTGGTTTTTCTTCTTTTAAACCTAAATCTGGACGGTCAATACTTTTAAATAATGTCCAACCCAAATATAAATCATCATCAGTATGAATTTGTGGTGAAGAAAGTTCACGATTAATTAATTTATTATCAATAGGTTCAATTGTTGGTGGATAAGAAAATGTTGTATCTTTATAAAGATTTGATAACCATGTTGCTGTTGTTTGATGATAGCTAGGCTTATCAACTATTGAAGAAAAATCATTTAAAATTATGTTGATATAACAGAATGCGTTTGAATAAATCAGCCTTTCAGTATTTTCAGAATAACTTTTTCATTATATTCAGCTGTACTTTTTTTTCTTAGAGATTCACCGTTTAATTCTGTAGAAATCTATCTATCTTGTGTATAACTTAAGCATATATTTGAGTTTTTAGATAATGAAAAGCAATGATCTTTGAAATGTTGTATTTTCAAATTACGAGAATGGTGATATTCCAACAGAAATATTTCATGATTTACATGATTCTATAGGTCTGACTACAATTAAAAGATGAGGCAGAATGATTTGTCAGTGTGACTTCATCCACATATCGAGTCCACTTATGGTCAGGATCAAGGAAAATATTCAAAAAGTAGTGAATCACTTACGTCCGAAAACTGTCGACAGAGCTTGATATTCCTGCAGCCAGCACTCGGTGAATATCGAACAATGATCTAGGATTACGGCTCTATAAGAAGATAATCGATCCTGATGATTCTTTGACATCGATAGTATTTGTAAAAGTCAAAATGATCAAGCATAGGTAATCAATCGTTCTGAGGCTGATCAAGAGATTGTCATCGAACAAGAACGACAGTTGCCGCAGAAAGTCAATGGTATTACACGATTGATAATCTTGAATGAAGAAACAATTGATTATACTATTTATGTTGGGAGACATTTCTTGAGCATCGTTTTATCTAATCCTTCAGAAATGCAATAAGGAAGTAGTTCATATGTTATAACGAGACGTTATTGATATACGGTCTGTGCTCGTATGCCAATAACACCTGTGGTGCTGGAAGGGGATGAAGTATTGAAGGTGTCTGTCACAGTTAGAGACATGCCGAGTCACGGTTTTTTTAACTGTGACTCCGTTCCTAAAGTTTTTTCAACTTCGATTCTGACTTCGAAAAAAATTCTTTTAGCGACTCCGATGGAGTCAGAGTTCAATCCAGGACTTTAGTCACGGTCTGTAATATACCTTTTAGATCGTATTTCACAAAAAATGATATAATGAAAATATAAGTAGAATATCCTGAAATTTTCAACTCAAAAGGATATTTCCTTCATGAAATTCTCGCATTGTGAAGGAAACATTCTTTTGAGCTGGAAATTTCAGAACATTCTAATTACAAGTAGACCTATTAAGATGGCTATGACTCTGAACGAAATACTTAAAGGTACTGATACTTTTGGAATTTTTCATAACTCACTCGAATCTATCATACGCACAGTGTCCGAACTCAAAAATGATTTTATTATTTAGAATGATTCCTTTGTGAGAGACTCATTTATTGTGATGCATCCATTAAATAAAAATGTAATACCATTTCGAGAAAATTTCATTTGAAATTTATCAATAGCATTAGTCACAGTTGTCATTTCTTCAATATGTTCTTTATCAGCAATTGATTCAACAATACGTGTTATATTTTCAAATGCTTTGTTTGGTTGAATTTCATCATCAACAACAACAACAGATGAAATTAGTTCATGAGATGAGAAAAAAGATTTTGGAGTGATTTCTTTATCGGATAATAATTGTTGTTGATAATGTTTTAATTCATCATAACTTGATATACTTTTATTATCGAATATTTCTGATGAATGTGAATCTACTAAACTATCTTGTCGTTTAATTATTTTATGTTTTTCTACATCATTCGATAGTTGTTCTAATAATTCACTAGTACTTTGATGAAATTCAAGATCAGATTGTTTCTGTTGAATAGATGAAGTAACATTAAATTGTCTTAAAGGTTTTATTATAATAGATTCTTTTGGAGATTCAATATAATCTTGATCTATTTTTTTAATAAGTTGATTAAAAATATTTTGTGTTCGTTTCTGATTATCTTGATATTTTCGTTTTAAATAATTAATAAGATCTTCAACTTCAATTAATGAATAATCATATTCTCCATGTAAAATATTTCGTATTTGTTTTTCTGTTAATAATTTACCTAAACGTATTTCAATTTCATGATATTGATTACCAATAAGTGTTCGTAATTCTTGTTCATTTAATCTTCTTTGTATAATATATTCAAGTTCATCATAAGAATTTGAATATTTTATATTAGCTTGTAAGATACTTTTTTTTAAATCATATTTTTCTTTCGATGTTAATGAACGATTAAAAAATATTTCAATTTTATCATAATGACCTGATGCTAAATCTAAAATTTGTTCAGATTTCATAACATCACTAAGTAAACGTGATAATGGTTCAAAACGATTTTCAGCAAAACGAAGTAATTCATGTGGAGATAATTTACGATCTAATATTTGAAATTAAGAATTAAAATAAATCAAAAAAAAAAACTTACGAAGAATATTTTCAAAATATCTTATACGATTAACAGGTAATTCTTGTAATTCATCTTCTTTTTGTATATTTAATTTTTCATTAATTAGTTTGATAATTTTCGTATAATTTCCATTTAATAAATCAATTAATTCTTCATGTTTAAATGGTCGTTGAAATATTATACGAATTTCATCAAAACGATCACCTGCTAAATTAGTTAATTCATCTAATGTTAATGATCGATTAAGAATTCGTTCAATATTTGTTATATCAACAATATGAGGCCCTATAAAAAAAAAACAACATTCAAAAAAAGTTACTTAGAGTTTACTGAAAGTAGTAGTGAAGATATTTTAATTCCTTACAAAAAGCTGTTAACACAATCTCTGCGGAATTAAAATATGAAACATGTGCAGCTGCTGTTGCTCAACATAGAGAGATTATTCTATTTATTTCAAGGCACATCTCTTCACTATCCCTTTTACTTAATCCTCCAGAAATGCAGTAGTTCATATAAAGGATGTTTTTAGGATTTGCGACGATCATAGTAGATCATATTTTGTCTTCGATGTATAATATCTCTTTCTAAGAAGCGTCCCGAGTGCGTGACACCCATTCTTGAAAAAACTTTTCGCTTTTCTCCAACGTTTTGTTGGTCACCAATTTCCAAAAAAAACGCTCAATTCGCTTCTCGTCTATATATATTAGAATATACAAAAACTAGTGACTGTAGAACAAAGAAGAAATAGAGAAACAAGGCCATCAAGTCGCTGTTCCATTAAATGCTTGAAATAATAATTGTTAAGTTTCTTTTTATAAGAAATTAAAATATTTCCACTACTACTCTTTTCTATAATTTGAGTAACATAGAAATAATACTATACCTGTTTCTTCCGGAGATAATTGTCGATCAATTAAACTTTCAATAGTTAATTTATCTCCATTAAGTAAATTCGATCGTTGTAAATCGCTTAATGATTTGCCTAAATCATATTCGATTTGAATGAAACGTGAACCAGCAAATCGTTTAAGTTCATCACTATTTAAACTTTTTCCTATAGCTTTTTCAATTTCGGATAAAGTGAAATGAATTGGTTGTTTCAATATTCGATCAAAAATGAATAAATCTTCATGAGAATTATCTTTTTCAAAATCTGTTAATTGTATTTGTGATACTTCCTTTATATCTAATTGATTAGATGATAGTTTTTTGTTAAAATCTTCTTTTACTACATTGTTTTGTTGATCTGCTAGATACTAAAAAATAACGATTGATAACTAGAAAAATGAGATGAATTAATTTTAAAAATTCTATTTACTTGAATTTCATCTAATGTTAAACGACGCTCTAAAACATCTTCTAATTCTTGAACTGTTGTATCAATAGAAGGAGTATGTGTAAGTTGAGATGCAGTCAAATCGATTATATTGACTGGTTTGTATGTCAAACGTTCAGTAGATGTCTAAAGACAAAAAAAGAAATGATTCATGTATTTTAACTTTTGTAGACAATATATTCAACTATTTACTTGCTTTTGAGTTCGAACTTAATTCGAAAATTTTTTATGAATAATTCCTGTAAATCTTTTTAGCTCATTAGGTGGTTCCTATCATAAAATACAGCTATGAAAATATCATCTCTTTTTGTCATATTGCAAATAGAGTTGTACATTGCTGGTCTAACTACTAAATAATGAGTCACCGATACAGGCATAATGTGTATTTTTCACATGACGGACGGACATATGACTTTCGTTGTTGAAAATGTTTTTATTTTGCTTATAAGTGATTGTATATCGTTCAGAAAATCACTAAGCATTTTCGGCAGGAAACACCTGAGATCGAAGGAACCCTTGCCCATATTTTTTCAAGAAAATGTTTTGTGCCATACATCACCAGATGTAGTTTCGCATGCTGATTCTGAATACACTATTGATTGTCGATAGAAATTCTTTGGAATTTGAAAGAAAGAAGTTGAGCGAAAGAACTAAGATTTTCTTTGAAAACCTGCTGTTAGGGTTGGTTGACACTAAGGACCGAGCGTTCGTTTTACTCAACTTACAAGGAAACGTTTCCTAGTGTCAAATCGCTTTTCAGTCGGGACTTTATCTATCATGCAAGTTCTAATGAGCTATGCATACTCTGGAAAGAGTTCAGGCTAATAGTTTATTGCTGTTAAAAACATCGGAATTTACCGTGGTTGTATATGAACGGCATGAAAAAACATGCTTTTACCATAGCCGTATCTTAGAATAAAATTAATCAAAAGATCTGAAACTTTTACAATAAACTATTTTCATTAAGGCTTCTCTCTATGTAAAGTTTCAAATCGAAATTCAAAGTTCAGTTTTTCTGCTGTCCCTGAGAGGGACCATAGTATTCAGCTGAAAACCATACAATATCTCGATAATAATAAGCTATTAGCTCGAACTCTTCTCACGATATTTATAGCTCATTTGGGTCTGTATGATGCACATGGTCCAGATTCGAAATCCATTCGATATTTAGAAGTGTTCCTTTGTTAGTCACTCCGAAAATTAATTTAGATTTTTTTTGTCACAAAAATCCTTCATTTAAATTAAAAGGTTTTTTCGATGTGCGGTATCAAACAATATTCAGAATATCTATTGGATGTGTCCACCAGATGAATTAAGATTGATTTTCTCATTGATACTAGTTTTTTCAGGCTAATTTTTGAATTCTGGTTGTTCTACTCTTTCGTAATAAAAATGTTTATTCTATTAGATAGAACATGTCTCAAACGATATTTGACTCAATAAAAGGATGACTTTCGGTGTTTTCACCTAATGTTCGGCTGCATGCACACTGTAACAAGGCCCACTGGAGTATTGTTCCAATACTTTAGTGAACATTCATGTAAGTGTATACTAACTATACTGAATCGAATGTCAGTAAACTGAAACTGTAAACTTAAAATCGAATGAATATATGACAGTATCTTTGCATTAATTTAAAGATAAATTTACCAATTGTCGACCAAGTACTTTTTCGATACCACTTAATTTACCATTGAGAATATCACGTATTTCTTTATCAGTTAAATTACGATTTAATTCATTTTTAAGATCAATAAATCGATTATTATACATTGATTTAATTGTTTCTGTTGTTAATGATTTATTAAATGATTTTTCAAGACCAATAATATCACCATTTGCAACCATAATTATTTCTTGTTTTGTTAATGATCGTCCAATATCATTTTCAAGATATTTTATATTTTCTAATAAATTTTTATCTTGTGTATTTTCAACTAATTGAAGAAGTGATGCTGTAATAGGAAGAATTTTTCTATTGATATTATTGTATTTTAGATTTTTAATTTGTTCAATCATAGAATAATCATCATCTATTAAACGTTTCTTTTCATCAACAGCTAATGAACGATTAAGTTGTTCTTCAATAATTTTAATCAATGGAGAAATTGAATGAATAATATCATATTGATCAACCAGTTGTGCTCGATATTGTAAAATCTATATATAATAATAAAAATCAAAAGTGTTCAATAATAATAATAAGAAGAAATTCATGTACTTGTTCTAATTGTGTATGAGTAAGTTTAATATTTTGTTGTTGTTTTAAATTGTCTATAAATTTTTTAGATAAAATAGAAGTTTTATCGGTAAATAATTCTTGATATGGTTGTAAAGTCAATTCTTCTTGTTCAATACGTTCTTCTATTGTTAATGGTCGTTTAAGAACTTTTTGTTCGATATAATCAAATGGTAAATGATTTTCAAGTAAATACCGATATTCAGATTCTGATAATTGACGAGTTATAGATTGTTCAAGTGATGAAAAACGATTCATTGATATAATACGTAAATCATCTGTTGTAAGATGAATATTCGTAAGTTGTTCAAATTTTTGAATATCTTCAAGAACAAGTGCAGTTAATTCTTCGAGATTCATTTGACCTGAATAATATGATTTTTTTTTGTTCGATTAAAAAAAACCAAAACTAACATACGTTTTAATCTTTTGTTTTCGATATCATGTTGAAGAATATTAACTAATTGAATTCGTTCATTGATTCTATTTAATCGTTGTTGACTATTACGATTAAACAATACATTTGTTTGGTTAGTATCTACTTGTACTTCATCGAGTAAAGCACTTATGTGACCTTCAAGAATATTTAAAATATCGACTTCATCTATTTGTCGACCAATTAATGTTTCAAGTTCTTTAATAATTTCCACTGTTCGAAGTTTAGTAGTGATCTGTCGAATCGATGGCTTACCTGATAGGAATGTTAGAGATGAATGAAAGAAATGAAAAAAAAAACTACCTTTGATAGGTTCAATACCATATTCTTTTTTAAGTTCAAGTAGTTGACCATCAAGACGATCACGAAGTTCGTGTAGAATTTGTTGTCGAATGGTGGGTGATTTAGGATAAATAATAATTGGATTTTGTTTAGTTACTCGATATGATTTGTCAATTACTATACAAGCGTTATTGATCTATATGTTGATTTACACCTCTGGACAAAAGTTTTCTCCCCACCTCCTGATCAGATCTCAGTCATCATAAGAGATTGAGATATGAAAATATTTTCCTCCTTAGGACCAGAAGCACTATCGGAATCTCCCTTACTCAAGTGGAAACTAGGTTTAGATGAATGAAATCTATTTTTGTGAAAGACAACCTACAAGGAGTGTTGAAGTATAGAGGTAAAAATTTTGGACCCCGTCTCCACTCGCATCACAGATCGTATATGAATAACGTCGCATTATAATATATGTGACTATTTTCTTGTTACATTTTCCATCCAACAGATAAATTCATTTGTTCGAAAATTGTTGTCTCTGAAAACAATATTAAGATATAGAGAAAGCTTCTCAAAAATTTTTAGGTTGACATATTGAACTATCACTGAGTTATGAGTCTTGAAAGAGCAAGAGTTGATTTCTTTTGTACACTGGTGGTTAGAGCATAATGATCACAATTCTTGAGGAGGTTGGCGAACCTTCACAAAATTTGCATTACAGATAGCTGAGCGCTATATAATGATAGGTCTGTTGACTCACGAAGTCTTCTCTACACAAATTTTCAGATCTCTATCCTTTATGGTGACCGAGATTAGAAGAGGGAGAGAACACTTTTCTCAAAAAATGTGTTTTTTTACTAACTATTTTCGTTAGATGAAATTTGTTTTTCTGTATTAAGATCATCACTCTCGAATACATTATCAGTTGTGATAATATTTTGTGTTGTTGTCTGTTGGACGATTGGTACTATAGTAGGATCTGACTGAGAAATACTTGATGACTGTTGAAGAAGTAATTTATTCAATTGTGTTACTGATGAACGAACTTTATTAATAATTTGCAATGGTGATTGACTTTTATATGCATCGAGAATACGTTTCGAGAGATTTTCTGATTTGAATTCTTCTAAAATACATATATATATATACAAGTGATTGATTAAGTTAAATAAGAAGAATAAAGATTATTACCAATAAGTTTTGGAGTAAGTAGTTGTGTTTGAATTTTATAAATTTGAGAAAAACTAAGTTCATAAGTTTGAATACTTTCGATTATTGTCTTGTTTAAATTACCATTTGCAATAAGATCAATCATTTCTTTTGATTTTGTAGCAAGTTTAACAGGTTTATCTAGTATATCTGATGTTATTTCATCTTGCTTAATTGATTTGTAAACATTTTCTGTTATTGTGTTTATTTTGAGTAAATCGAGTATAAATGATGGAATAGTTTCTACTTCTTTAGTAGATATATCATCAATAGAATGTAGACTCAATTGATGAACAAGATTGAGAGTATTTTCAATGCGATTACGTTTTAATATTGAATTGGATACTATTTCGACTGTTTCAATATGAGTTTGTATACTTGATTTAAGTCGTTCATGCATAGCTGTCAATTGATCGGCAAGAGAAGAATGTAATCGATTTTGCATATCAGTTGATTTTTCTATAATGTTAATAGATTTATTGGATTGAATCAATGGCTTCATCATGATTGATGATTTATAATGTGTGGACAGAATAGAAGTAGAAACTGAATAAAGTAAACTACTAAATTGTTCATCACTGAGAATAAATTGAGATAATGATCTTGGTGAAGATGTAGTGTATTCTAAATCATCAATCGAAATATTCATATCCCATAGTGTAGCTAGTTGTTCTGGTTTAAAACGAAATTCTATCATCTATGAATAAGAATATATTTCAACAAAAGACTATTTTAACCATTTTATATTTACATCGATATGTTCTGTTGTACAAGTTGTCAATTGATTGAGTTTAATATTAGAAGATTTTATAAGAGAAAAAATTTGTTCGACAGTCAAATGAACATGTTGTTGTATATGAAATGATTTATCAATCGATTGAGTAAGATCAGCAGACTTTTGTATCATATTTGGTTGACTATTTTGATTGATCAAAGCACAGAGTTGTTTCTGATCGAATATTTTTGATTTTTGATCATTATGAATTGATATTAGTTGTTTTATTGGTATTTTATTTTCCATAGCAAGATGAATCAATTGATTGTGTGTTAGTTGGAATGGTTTGTTGGAACTAGGTAACGAATGAAAATGTTCTAAACTCATGTCTAATATAATATAAATAATAAATCAAGTCGAATCGATGATAGAATTTGAATCGATTACTTACTTTGAATTAAAGCTAGATGTTTGATTTGTTGATAATCCAATGAAAATAATAATGAAGGATCATTTTCATTTAATTTTTGTTGTAACATATAGATGCCTATTAGCTGAGCAACAGAAAGTCCAATAATTCCTTGATTATTAATAGTACGATGATGAGCACAGAGATAAGCCAATTGTGATGAATTTAAACGAAATTGTTGAGCTTGTACGTCTTGTTGTTTTAAATTTTGTTCGATATCTATTAATTTTCGAATATCAAAATTATTTTGATTGATCAAATGTGCGATTTGTGAAGATGTGAGAGTAAACTTAATATTAGAACTATCAAATAATGATGAATTTTGTAAAGTAGGTATATTATCAAGAAGTTTATCGATATCAATCATTTGTTGATTACATAATTCGATTAATTGATCGAGTTGAAGAATAAGCCATGATTGTTGTTGTTCTATTGGTAACGTGGAAGTTAACGACATCCAGTTAACCAAATTTATATGAGTCATTAAAGATCGGATTTGGTTTTCATTTAAATGAAGATTGCCTTGTGATGCTCCAATATGGTGAACTAAAAAAAGAGAAATAGATTCAACACTTCTCTGATTATTTTAAATCAACGAATAGATTGAAGGATGCTCTGTTGTACAATGCAAAAAAAAACAATTATGTATGTTGCTATCAAATAACACCACATGCGTGCTGGAATCATTATTTAGCTGTTCGATGAATAAAGCTTTGAATTCGCTGATCACTTTTATTGAAATTCATTGAGTGAATATGAAGGAAGAAGATATATCCTTCGTTGTCTTTCATGACAATGATAATTGCAAAAGAAAATACATGACTTTCTTGCACAATTCACATGAAATCATACGAGCATAATATTTGTAAACTCGGAAAATTATATTAAATAAAAATATATAAAATGCAAGACAGTAAATAAATAATATTTGTTAAAATATTTATTCAACGCAGCAAAATATATATTCAAAACAAGTTATATACCATCTAGGATTGAGATATTTTCTTCAATGCCAATTTGAATTAACTGTTCTTCTGTTAGTTTAAATTTGTCTGGTATGACAGTTGTTTCCATTAACTTTTGTAAATAATCTTGGAATTGTTCCGTAGAAAGCTTTTGTTTCAGATATATTCTATTAAAAATAAGACAGACTCAATCATTCGCTCTCATTCAAACATTTTAAAAAAACAGAAAATGAAAGGGTTGAAATGAATTTGAAAACTCAGATCAAATAAAGAAATCTATGTATTAAAAATGATAATAGATGATCTGCAACAGACATTTATTGGATATTGTGTTCATAACAATTCGTATATGGGATAATTATGGCGTGATGCAAATAAGTTAATCTCTGTCTTACAGCAGTATTCTAGTAGCCCAGGTCGAAAAGATACTATCGTAAACGGCTGAGTACTACGAACTACGTCAAAAATCCAGTCGTTGTATACGACACCATGCGTTCAAATACGATTGTGCACTACTGTAGAATATAATCGTATATAGTCATAAGTTAGTTACGAGTTGAGTTGTACCTATCGACCACATTGCCTTTGCATCCTGAATTCAACAACAAATTCAATAGCAAATGTTTATTTACAACAAAACAAAAATTTTATTATTTTATTTAGATATAGTCGAACAACTAATTAAACCGTAAATGTTTATTTACAACAAAACAAAAATTTTATTATTTTATTTAGATATAGTCGAACAACTAATTAAACCGTAAATGTTTATTTTACATAAAATGATCATTTTTCATGTGTTTATGCAGAGAGAGGAAAAGTGGTCTTTCTTGTGAGTGCAAAGAAGCGTATGTGAGTAGGATCTTATAAAGTCATATAGGATTATTTACGATCGCCTACAAAAGTTGTAATCTTCATCCTAGGAAGTTGATGAGTTCTTCTTTTGTATTTCCAAATTAGTTAACCCAGGTCGAACGTTACGGAGTTCGTAAACGATCGTATACGACCGTATACGGGAAAAATACGGTCGTTTACGACCGTGTTTTGCCGTAATACATGTGATCGTATTACGATCGTATATCTCCGTAACCGTATACGGTCGTATACGACCGCATATGGAGAAAAACGGAGCAAAACGGAGATCGTATACGGTCGTTTACGACCGTGCTTGTTCGACCTGGGAACATTTCTGCATTAAGTAAAATGTTGATAGAGATATGTTTTGTAGCCATTAACTACTAAGGAGAACTTGTAAAAGCAATTTAATAATACTTTAATTAACATTTTGTTGATCTATCGATAGATCAGATATTGCAAATGTTGGAAAGACATATCCTTACAGCATATGTCAAATTCTTGTCAACGATTAAGGCAATAACATCAATGTGATAAGCATTGAATGATATTTCATTAGACATCAGATAACTACAGAAATATATATGTGCTATGTATTTTTATAATGATTGATTGCCACCGAGCTAGTTAAAGACAAGAAGTGAGTCTGAGTATATTAATCGAAAGAAAACTTACTGAAAAAGATTATAACTAGATGAGCTGTTCAGGTATATGTTTTGAAACATTTATAATATGAAACATAAAACTTAAGTTAGTATGCTTTAAATAAAGATACGTCAAGAGGTTGTAATGTGTGTGTTGTTTAGAAAACAAACACTTTGTTATTTGTGTCTATTCGTGATATTATTTAGATCCTTGCACTGATTGTGAGACAAATTTGTGATTATTTTTTAATAAAAAGAATTAGCTCTTCAATTGATCCTGAAAATATTGCTCGAGACAGATGCGATGACATGGTTACTCTATATATATGTTTTTTGACACTGTATTGCATCGAGATGAGGCCATCAAAAAAATTATAATCTATCTTAATGAATTGTTGACGTGACCAAGGACAATTTTAAAGTCTGATATGTGCGATGAGTTTTTCAATAACCTACGACCAACAGTCTTGAAAAGTTGGTTAAGCAATGTAGAACACCATGCTTGCTACGCTTTGATTATTTTGTTACTGACTAGTAATTTTATGTAAATAATAACCTAAAATAAATGGAATTTACATTCTTCTAGAAACATTAAAAGGATAAGTCGAAAACGAATACATCTTCCAGAAATTTTCTGTTATTTTTTTTAAAGATTTCAAGAAAAACGTTACGCTTTACTTTCCTTTCCTTCTCGCCAAGATAGAAACCGTTTTCAAGATGGAAAAAATTAAAGAAACTTTGCGTGCTCTCATGTAATTAACATTTATTTATTGATTTCTCTTCATAATTAGAACATAACAGCATAGACTGACCAGTTATCATTTATCGCAAAATAACAAGTATCGCTCGAACATTTCTTGTAAGTTCTAAACTTTGTTTTCTTCATGCAGGTAATACTCGATAATATTATACAAATTGTTAACTTTTCAGTAAATACTGTCGAATAGAAACAATGTTCACACTATTTGTATTGAACAACTGTTTTCTGTTTTCTGTTGTTTTTTGAATGTATATGGTTTATTTTGGGGAAATAAATAAGATAAAACTCTGTTGTACCTACTGAAAAGATAGAATGGATGGTTGGCAAGAAGAAGAAGAAGAATCTTGGAGTCGAACTGATATTATTGTTGGGAAAAAATGAACTATTTATTACGAGAATTTTTCTAGATCGAACAAATGATGACCGTCCACAAGAGGTCAATCAGCCTCTACAATGTGGAAGTAACATATAGTAGCAATATACAGTGTGTGCGTGTATTTACGACATCTCTTGATTAGTGTATTCTTCCAATCGCAGTTTACAATTTCAACTGTTAGCAGAACGAAAAATTTTACTTATAATCGATTGTAGTTTTCTCGAAAGATCTATTATATATTAGTTAATATCTTGATAGAACTGTGACTCTTTGTAAAGAAAGAACTTCTGAATATGAATTTTCAAGTAATATTTTCAACATTTAACACGACAGTTTTAGAGATGATATTTACCACTGACGTCGATGATAAGAATTATCCCAAGTAGGAAAAAGAAAATTGATATTTAGAATCATTCGTCAACATAAGAAGGAATAAAGTATTGATAAATGCATTACTTACTGTTCAATTTGAATATTTGTCAGTTTCAATGGTTCTTGATTCTGTCCAATAACAAGAACTACGAGCTGAGCCAGAGTAAGACCATCATGCGACACAATTGTAGTTGACATCATAGCTTCAGAATAAAATTCTCTATCAATATCTGTTGTACTACTTGATGACATTGTTGACTCGATTGCTTCATCAATTATTGGTAAAATTTGTCGATGTTTATCTATTGTGGACATTTTGGAGGGATGTGATGAAGTTTTTGTACTGATTAGTGATTCAACGAGTGAAGTATCAATCTTTTTATCCACTTCTTCCATAATTTGTTGTAATGGATCTAATTCAGTAGTTAAAGATTCACCAGAATTTTCGGAAAAAATAAACGATTTCTTTTCATCGATTTTTTTCTTCAACATAGCTGCAATTAATGCTGGTTCATCATTTGTTGCCATAAATAGTGTTTCTAATGTGTATCCAAAACGAACAGCTTGCTTTCGTACACGTGTTGTACCACTTTGTTTCAAACGATCTTTGAGCATGTTAACAGCAAGTGGAATATATTTTTTGGGATCATTTGAGCGTAGTTTAGCTAATTTTAATATATCATCCAATAGACGAACCTGTAATAAACAAAAACAATATGTCAACAATGTTTCTTCTCTATCCAAATATTAAAACGTACTCCATGTCGTCCAGCATATTTGAAGAATTCAGTCAATCGATCATTTACTGTCTTTTTATTTTGTAACTTTCGGTCACCAATATTATTTTCACGATCAAATCTTTGTACAGCTTCAATAGCATTTTCTACCAACTGTGCTACATCTTCTGACAAACCTTCATATAGATCTCGTGTTGTTAATATTTCTAAGTTGTCTTCAATAGTACCATATTTTCTAATCATATTATCTAAGAGATCTCGCACTTCTGGTGGTAAATTATCCGGTTTTGTAGAATCAGTAGTTTCATCAAAGTGATATAAATCTTCTCGTACACTATAGTCATCGACAGGTAGTTTTTGTGTTGCTGATCGTTGATGATTTTGAACTGAAACCCAAGGTGATGGAGTTAATACACGATTCTGTTGATGTGTCACCAAATCATTTATAGTCAGAGGTATATAAGGTCCTTTCATTGATTTGATATTCTATTCAACAAAGACATTTCATCAAAATAACTCTGAGCAGCGAATGTTTTCAACGGATCAATCACTTTTACAATGAAAACTAGTGAATGATAAGCTATCTATCATGCTGATTTCGAATATGATTATTAAAAAAATCCTCTTAGGTCTTTATATAGTGAATTAGTAACTTATTTATGGTTGAAATCGTTTTAATTTGGAAAACTAGCATAATTGATAGCTGACAAACCACTAGCTTTCGGTGAGAAAACGATTGATCAGTTGAAAATATTCTCTTGTTGGGATAAGGAAAGAATTTTACACGTTTTTCAATATCAAGTAAAACTAGATCTTTGAGTGCTTCAATATCACCATTTAGTTGATTTTGTTCATCGAATTTAAATCGTTTAAAAGCTTGATGCGAAAAAAATTTAGGTGCCTGATCCAAATCGATTACATGCAGAAGATATTTGCTGTTAGAAATTGTACTTGACGATTTCGATGTCGTCTGATGTTGATTAATTTCAATAATATCTTGAAGATTATGAACGATTTGAATTTTACCAAAATAAGATACCAAAACATATTCGAACTTTGTATAATCAGATAAATAATCATTATTCATTTGCTTCAAAATATCATCAGTTAATGAACAAATAGTTTTTATAAGAATATCTATTCAATGAAATCTCATAAGAACAATTAAAACAATTTCATTTCTTAGATTCTTACTAGTAGAAAACCAAATACAAGGATCGAGACCTAATGGAACTGTGTGACATTCTAAGGAGATAAACTCTTGCAGAAGATTTGTGCTCATATATTTTTTTAAAGTATGCAGTAGAGCAATACATTCCAACAATGGTAAATTGATTAGTTGAAGACGATTGAATAAATAATAGATAGATTTCTTGAAAAACTCTTCAATAAGTGTGTTATTAATGTCATTTATTTCTTTTTTATCATTCAAATTAACATATAAATCAGAACACCATTTCGAATGAAAATATGTTTGATAAACACTATCCTCACTAAAAAAAGAACAATATTAATATACAAATAATAAAGAATTTATTATCAAACTTACATGAGATCTATTAATAATGCCGATGAAAATTCTAATGCATGACTAGTAATCATAGTACCTGTTAAGAAAAATATTTCGTTTTAATTACATGAATTTCTCGTTCACAATGATGACATACCATTTTGTAAGAAATGTTTCGTGATGTAATTGAATACTCTCCAATCAACTTCGGATAAATAGGTAGTTATACGATTCATAATACGTTGTGAATTTGATAAGCAAAAAATCTTATTCTCATCTAGATTACATCTCTTTCTTCTATCATTATCACTATCTTCAGTAGTAGTACCTATACCGGAACTAATCGATGCATCATCATTATCATCTCTCTCGTCATTTATATGTATATTTGATGTGGAATTTCCATCGATATTAGCGCTTGATGAAGATTTTTGTGTTAGTTTAGATTGAACTAAACGTTGCCGAGCATCAATAATTGTCGAAGCAATTTCATATGCAACATCTTTTCGTATATGAAGAAAGCTAATAAAAATATGAGCTAAATCCAATGATGATCTATGAATAGATTATAAACATTTTAATGAACGACGATTAAAAATCATATACTTAAGTCGAGATGATTTCGATTGGTACATTACATAAACTTGTTTCATAGTAGAAGATAAAGATCCGTAGAGTGAGCGTAAATAATGTTCTGTATCATAACTCTTTTCACTCTCTTCAAAGTTACTCTCGTCATCAGCCATTTCTTCTAAATCATTAGGAGTGAAGTCATATTTCTTTTTTTTTTTAAATAACTTTCATTATAATATGAATTTACCTTTGTCTTGAAAACCTTCGTCCTGAAATTGTTGATGTTCTGTTGATTCGTCTCTATCCTTCAATTTGTTAATGTTATTCAATTTTTGGTGTTTTTCATCCTATACGAAAAAAAAATAACTTCTCTTTCTCATGGTCCCTCACATCTCTAGTCCTATGGCATTAACAAGAACAATTACCTTATGATCAATAAAATAATTTTCTTTTATAATGATATTGTTCAATTGTGAGGTTTGTTCGTTGTTGCCTTCTTCTTTTTCGTCTAAGCCTCCATCGTGATCTCTATTATTTAGGAACTGATCCAGAAAATTTTCTTTATCTTCATTGGTTTCCAAAGGATAACATAAATAATCAAGTTTTAAGGAAGTATTAATATATGAATTTTGTCTTTCAATATTATCATGTACCGATGTCAATGATATTGAGTCAGTAATAATATTGATTGTCGGACGTGAATTATCGTTTTGTAATTGTTGTTCTCCAAAAGAGTTTAATAAATTACTATGCTTTAACTCATTGATTACTAAACGAAGATAATATCAGATTTAAATTAACAATATATTGTAAACTTACATGATAAATCTTCGTTTGATTGTATGAAAAGATTATCCTGAAGACTTATTCCATTCTTAAGTGTGAAAATCTCATCATTACTACATATCTTGGTTGTTGTATTCGAATTTTCTACCATAGTATTGACATTGATAGCATTTGGTAGTTGAATATGTTTTTTTTTTCGATTATCATTTATGGTTTTTTGTTTTTTATTTTGATATAATAAAAATAAGTTATTAAGAAATGAATGTTTTGAATTAATATTATTAATGAATATGTTTGATGATATTGATTCATAGTGTTTATGTCTTTTTCGTTTTTGTTTATGTTTACCATATTCAACTGATGATCGAGACATTTTTTTCTTTTTACGTTGTTGGTTATTTTGATTTAACTACGAGAAATATTGAGATAAAAGTTAATTTTCGAAATTAAAATTTAAACAATATACTTCTATAAGATATTGTTGTTTAGTATTTGCTGATGTATTAAAACTTTTCGTATTAATCGAAGTAGTATTGAATACTTTTATATTGTTATGATCGTATTCATCAAATGAAAATGGTTCATGTAAATGAGGTAATGATTTTTTCTCAATATTATTTTGTTCATATTCAACAGAAGATGACATAGTTTGTTTCTGATCATCAAATGCAACTAAACGATGTGTTTCACTTCCACGTAAATCTAAATTGTTATCATTTTCTTCAGCAGCTAAACGTTTTCGTTGTTGAACACGTGTTAATATTGTTAATGAATCAATGCTCATTGGTAATCGATCAAAACTTTTTGGTCCACCAGTAATTTCTTCATGCAAGATAATATTACCATTGTTACGTCTATGAATTAGAATGAAAAGAGCTGTTAGTATAATACCTACGGGATTAAAATGTGAAATACAATGTAGTTGCTATTGCTAATCACACAAAGATTGTTTTACTCTATCTATTTTGGGATACATTTCTTCACCCTTCTTTTACTTTATCCTTCAAAAATACAATGAGGAAGTAATTACATATATTATAACAATATTTCATTGATATACAATCTGTGACGCGAGTGAAGACGGAGTCTAAAATTTTTATCCCTATACTTCAACACTCCTTGTAGATTATCTTTTAGAAAATAAATTACTGTATGTCTTTCATTCTGGTTGAAGCGATACCAGTATCCGATTGCTTTATGAAGATTTCTCGATGATGATCCAAAACAATTACATCTTTGCCAATTGATTCGATCTCTAATAAATTATTAAAGAACAATAGGTTCTTCTTTTGGTACAAAAATAAGCGTTTACCTTTCTTCATCGATGGACCAATTAAAAGAATTTTAGCTGTAGTTTCAGCTTCCTATAAAATAAGATGATCGTTTAGAGCATGCCAACAGTAGTGATTTTGGCAGATAAAAGTCCACAAGGATTAATCAAGTATTTGAACTAGTAGCTATGCTTAATTAAGTATAAACGGTTTGTTTAACGACATTTGTTAAAAGTATTTCTGATTAAAAAACTGATCAATACAACGTTTAGAAACTATTCCAATTAATCAAATTTTGTTAGACATGACTGACTAAAAAAATACAGTGAAATACATGAAGTCTCTTAGTATTTCAAGATATCGAACATCATTATGACAACATCCAACTACATATATATGAGACTTTATCTATCAAAATCACCACTTTTTCTGTGCTCTAAGTAGTTCAACGTAAAAAAAAACTTCGAATCAAAAATCATACTAAACGTCGTTCAATTTGTAAACGTAATCGCATTTGTATATCATCCATCATCATGTGTATCTGCTTATCATCAGTCGATTGTAATTCATTAGAATCAAGTTTATCTAATAAATCATCAAAACTATATTCAATTGCTATACGCATACATTCTTCACGTGAATATGTTGTTAATTTATGATTAGCATAAGCATAAAACATTTTTTCTATACTATTGATTGTATCATATTCTATGTCTAATGTTAATTGTAAATATGAATTATGAGTTTCTTCTTTATGTATTAAAGAATATCGTTTAGTAAATAATTGTTTAAGTTTATCTTCAACAGAATGTATAATATTTTGTTCATTAATACCTTGTAAAAAATAAAGATTTTTTTCATATTCAATATTAAAAAGTTGTGGTTCTTGTTCATGTGTAATTTCAAAAGTTAAATTTTCAATAATTTCTTCATTTGTTATTAAATGAACAATAACTCGACGTTTTCCTTTATTGGTTAAAGGTTCCAATTCAATTTGTATACGTCGTATTTGTGCAATAGAATAATCATTATTTGTTTGCAAATATTCTCGAACATGATCAATAACAATTTGTTCTATTGTTGATTGCTAAAAGAAGAAAAAAATTGTTTTAAATTTCACAGTCTTATCACAGCTTCAGATAGGGATGTATCAATTCTAATTCTAGTTTTTAACTTGGAGTTGGAATTAGCTATCACCCATCCGATAGCACGCTGGCTACGTTGCGATCCAGTCTTTCTGTTGAGAGCTACAGCTAGTCATAGTTGTAGTGAAGATATCTGATTATTACATCCGCCACTAGGCCGCGCCCTATATTGCAAGATAGCTCCAAGGCAGGAGTATCTAACCATTTTGTCCTTTTAGATATACTTTAGGAAAGATTATGAGAATATATGGATGACATCGAAAACACAAAAATCAGCTACTTTCATCATAAAAGATCTGCAAAGATGCTTTAAAATGCAACTTTCACATTTGGAAAATATCCAAACAGGTTTCTCACAATATTTTTGACATACACTACGCATAAAGAATTCATATGATATATAAAATATATTTGCTTAAAACCATAGAATATTTTTCTATAAACTTGAGTTCCGATCTCAGCATAGGTTCTCCTCGTGGTCCTGCACATTTCTAATCTTCACGCATTGTTTATGATGATAGTAGCTGGTTTTAATGTTTTCTGAATGAACATGAAAACGCTCAAATGAAAACCACGATTAGGACGTTTAAACGTATTTTTGGAAATTCCTATCTGTTTGAGATGCTCAAAACCGGTCTTAAAAGGATTGGAACTGATGCGTCCCTAATGTATCTAAGATTTTCTGAATTTATTCTCACATGAAAATTTGTTGAATCATTAATTAAATTTTTAAGATCATCTGATTGTGCAAGTTTAATATCTGTATGATATGTAGAAGCCAATAATAGAACAAGTTTTTCTTTATTTATACGAATAATATGACCTTCATAAATATCTCCAAATTCCGATGTTAATTCAAACATTTTTATTTCATGTTTAGATAATTCATTCTAAAAAAATTTAAGATTGCAAAATTTGTTTTTTTATAAAATAGATAAACTCTACTGGATGTAAAACAAAATGACCAATTATATCGATATCAAGTTGAACAATATTAGCAATTGCAATAAGATCTTTTAATGTATGTTCACGTAAATGTTGAAATAACTGATAAAATAAAGAAAAAATAAAGATCAAATTTACATAAATTTATTTACTAAATATTTTCGATGATAAAATGTTTTAAATGTTGCTTCAGTTTTTGATCCTTGAAAACAAGCTGCTGGATAAAAATCAATATGAAGAACATCTCGTGGACGACGTGACATAGACATAGGTCGATTAGGATATGAACTTTTATCTAATTCGAATAAATTATCTTTTTGAATACGTGCTTTAATATATCGAATAAGTTCTTGTCGTTGTAAATATTGATCATTGAAAAATTGTTGCTGATGATTCAAATTTGACCATGAAAATTCTATCGTTGATGGTTTATCTTTTTTCTTAAATTTATCTCTTAATAAATGATCATCTTCAATTGATTCTTTCCATGTCGCATGTTCTAATCCATCATGTTCAAAATCAATAAATATACGAAATCCTTTTTCATTGAATTGTTTATCAGACTCATGTTGATAGATTAATGTTGTATAATTACATGCATTCAAACATGAATTTTCATCATGTGATTTTTTAAATTCTGTAATTTTAGTTGTTTTGTTTGAATGAATATTTTTATAATCAAGTTTTTTCCAATATATAGGTGGATAAATTTTTTCCAATTTAGCATCTAAAAATAAACGATTAATAATCTATTAAATGCTACAGAATGAAAAACAAAATAAGAATAATACTTGGTTGCCAAAATTTCCACACAGCATCACGTCGATGACGAGGTAAACAAAGTTTTTCGATGCGAGGATTCATTTGAATGACTAATAATAATTAAGCGCCAAGTTTAGATTGAATTTCATGTCAATATACAGTAAAATCTCTCGGTTGTGAACATTGAGGAAATCATTTTAAAGCGTTTACTACACGGTGGTGTTCAGTTTAGCGAATTGACGCATTGCTTGCTATGAAATTCATCTAAAAGATTAGAATCAAAAGATTTTTCAATGTCAACATAAAATTTATTATTTTTTAAAAACCTCTAATGTTGTTTATTTTTTAGCTGTTGGTTTAATAGAAACATTATTTAATTTAGATTCTGATTCACTGATTAATCAATATTATTTTAGTTGTCGTCAATAAATGGACTTTTGGTATCATTCCTATTGCTTCCATTATTTTTGGTAGTGATTCTCTTGACATACGATCATTGTCATCAGTGTCACCATATTATTCATTATCATTCGATGTTATAAGACATTCATATTTATTCAAACATTCATTGAATGCAGATGTATCTTTATCTATATTAATAACTCTTATACATAAGGTGTACATACTCGTAGCGTATGAGAACGAGGTCAAAAGTCATTACATATGTGCTCACTAGCAGAGGTGTTTTACTGCTATATCCCTGGAAAAATATAGTTCTAGTCGATTTTGTAAACCTTTTGTTAGCATAAGAACACATTGAAAAAAATGATTATGTATTCTGAAGGCACTCGGAGTTTTCTATCATTTGTGTCTACTGTTTAGACAATAAATCAAATGCAATGAAGGCACCATCATCATCGGATTTCCACGAATTGAATTTTATTATTTTCTCCTGAATTCACGTCTTTGGTTTATCATTATTTAGACATAGTTCTCTAAAAAAAAAGTAATTATATATTCTGCTATAACTTGAAATTCTCTAGTATTTTATATATTTATCTATTGTTGTACATTTTATTATTCGAATAATAATTCGATTATAGCAAAGATACCTTCAAATGACAGGAACTATAATTCATTATAATAATGTATGGATTAATTTGAATATTTAGCTTAAATCACAATTAAATGAGAACAATAAATGAAACTATGCATTATCTCAAAATAAAGTTTTCTTGTTTTGAAGATTTTGTGATGGGGAGATTTTCGACTCAATACAGCCATTTTCAACCTAATCACTTTTAACGTCATTTGTGAACAATATAAACCTAAAGATCATAATATGCATCAATATGATTATGTAATGAATGAACCATTAACAACAATATAAAGTAGTATATATACTAAGAAGGTATTCTTTTTCAAATAACTGTCGATCCTACCACATTCATATCTACTCAATTAACTTTGTTAGACAATGAAAGTTATTACTCGAAAATAGAAGAAAAAACAAGATTTTATTTATGATGCACAATAATGTATTTTGAATGAATGAAATCAAACAAAACGATGACCATCATCTTATACAGCTTGCTGAATACATTCTTCAATACATTTCTGGATCAGCAGAATTGGATTGATTTAGTAAACTGATGCGGGTATGGGTGTGGAGTATGAGGTGCGGATGTGGGTGTGTGGGTGGGTATGGGTGTGAGCGTTGATATAGGTGTCGGTGCAGGTGTAGCTGTGGGAGACCAGAGTAGCAACATCCACATCCACACCCACATATACACCCACATCCAACTCACAACCACAACCACACCCACACTCTTCATGAAGGTAAATTTGAACACAAACTTTGTTTGACATATGCTTCAAATCAAATAGCCCTGAGTGTAGATAAAGGCATGACAGTAGGCTACAGGTATTATATTGAAAATTGTCTGAAGCCTTTTGTAAATATAATGTGAAAACAAAAAGAGGTATAAAGTGCAAAATGTACAAAACTGCTTGAGGATCATCGTTGATTTCATACACATCCGATGTTATTAATTATTTGACAGAAGAAGACATCAATATAATGCCACAGCAGTCATATTCGCCATACCTGATACTACTTAATCTTTGATTAAGTAGCTCTATCGAAGAGATTTTAATTAATTAAATAAATGAAATATTATGTACTTATGCGGTATCCAAAGTAGCTAAAATGTTTTTCGAAAAACAGTTCAAAAAGACTTTTAATAAATTGCTAGAAAGAATTGAACTTGATATAAATAATTATGGCAACTATCCTCAACATTTGATAAAATAAAATTAAAACTCTCTCCTTATCTTTATATTTCTATTTAAAGATCTCAGAACTTTTGGTCAGACTTAAGTATGAAGTTGGGGTTATTGGAGCAAATTGCATCGAATGATGATATTTATTTTTAATTTTGAAGTGATGCGGTCTCAAAAGAACGAAATTTAGAAGATATTCTTTCTGTCATTCAAAGCATTGTATAGACTGAATTATAAAACTCATTATACTGAAACTAAAAGCAATTGGCAGTATTCAATTGAGTTTTGTTGAGGTCAAAATTTGCTCATCATCAGTTGGTTAAATTGAAGCTAATATTGGATTGAAAAATTTTCTCCGAAAACTTCTGGTCAAAATCTATCGTGAAAGTTGTCTTACTGGACCAATTCATAGTCAAAATAATATGGAAATGTTTTACTTCCGCCATATTTCCCTTCTAGATGGTGAAAGTCTTAGAATTGTAGCTGCTTTCATTTACGAAATGTTTAAAAAACAATTGAAATACATAATATTTTGACATCAACAATAGTTATTTTATTTGAAAAAATCCAGATGTTGTCTAGAATTATAAATACTCCATTGGTGCTAAATAAAATACAATTAATTCTAATATAAAACTACATAGAACATACACAAGTTGATAAAGTCATCAATTCTTCTTCATACAAATTAATATGAGTATGAAAAACTATGCGATGATAAATCATAACGAAAGAATACGTTTATATACAGTAATCATCTGAATAAAGTTTAATAGATATAAAGGTTATCTTTAATTTTTTATTTATCCTTCTTCAATAATACTTTTTGGAATATTGCAAAATTGATAAAATGAAAAGACTAACGAGTTTTTTTGTGCTCCTATTGCTTCATCAAATATATTCTAGAGACATATCTGAATTTGTAAAGCAAGCAAAAAGATGTTTTGTCAATAGAGTAACTCTTGATAACATCACTTACCATAGAAGCAAAGTTGAAATGAAACTATCGATCTGTTACTCAAGCGAGATATCATAATAAGAAATACGATATGATTACGAACTCAACCCAGCAATGAGAAGTCCTTATCGAAAAAAAATTATGCTATACAAGCGTATAGAAAACAGAATACAATGTTTTTCTCTTCTATGTAATCTCATTTATGATTAGTTTCATTTTTTCCGAGAAAATCAAATCGATAGACAAAGCAAATGTCGCAAATTATTCCCATCACACGTAATTACACCCAGATCTCGATACACAGAAATTTATTAAAGTAATTGAACAAATTCAAAAATATTCAAAACAAAATCGAAAGCATGAGAGAAACTGTACATTCTGAAGTGTTCTGAATCTGAATCCATTCTAGAAATTCTCAAATTTTTCTAACTTCGGTTTTACAAATCTTCAAATTTCTACTGACTTCGCGGATTTCGATCATTTTTTTGCTATCATCCGAATTTCGTAGACAATTCTTCGATTTCTTTGATTGATGAGAGTCTTCAGCAACATATATTACATCTTGAGTCTGCAATTTACCTCTTGGCAAGGTAGAGGTTTAGTCGAACATAAAGCTAATGATGATCGACTAATGACATAACTTCACTTTCACATGGCATTATCAATGGTGATGATGCTCTTTTGTGGTAAATATAAGATTTTACACGAAAATGTTACGAATTTAGGACAATTGCTTCAAAATCGTCCTGAAGATAAATACATCAATAATTTATATGGAAATATTGTATAACAGTTTGACAGAAAAAATATACAAACGATATTCAGCAATTATAAATTGAACAAGAAAAAAGTTTAACAACAACAACTATCTGATAAATTTTGACTGGCGTCATTGGATTTGGAGGACAGTTTGTGATCAAGTATTTTGGTTATTTTTTATAAATGATTTATTCTATTCCTCTAACAGTCGTGTGATCAATTAATATCAATAGTTACTTCATTAGTTTATGAATGTCCATTATTTGTTCAATGCTTCTGTTTTTTGATAATATCTACCGTTCTTTCGCTCATAGAATGAACATAATCGATCATTCTTTTTTTGTCTTTCCATATAATTCGAATATTTGGTCTCGTAGCTATTTGTATCGAATGTGATCAAATACCAAATACGTGGTAGACGATATGTAGTAGAAAATCTCACTAAAAATCTCATTATTTGGCTCAACTTTGACCGAATAGTTTTTTGTTTTTAATTTTTATGTACTACACTTTTATTTCAATAAATAATATTTCAAGAAAAAAAGCACAATCAAGATTTTTCATAGAAAGAAATTATATTTACCCATATCCAAATAATAAAATATTAGATAGTTTTATTTTTTAATAAAAAGAAACAAACGATAAGATATCAATTCATTGCTAAACAAGTATTTTAGTTCAGATCTCTTCACTGGCTGATATTTTGTTTCAAATGGACCATATCAAGAATGACGATTATTGACTACATTCTTAAATTAGAATGAAGTCAAACTAATACTTATGAGGAAAATGTTTTTGTTTTTTCGATTAGTAAATTTAAACGATGAATTAATTGATTAGACTGTTTATCAATATCATTTGATGTTGACGCTAAAATGAGAGACGAAAATGTTTTATCAATGCGAAAATACTTGATTACGAACATGCTTGATAATTGGTATAAAGATCAATACAATAGAGTGTTACATCACGGCAATCATTAGCTAAAATAACATCTTGAACAAGATTAGCTGTTGCTTTTCCATGTACAACTACATCAGCCATACAATTTGCTAATGTAATACATTCATTTAAGAATGGAAGCGTATCAGCTACAACAAAGATTTTTAAAAATGTAGATATATTCATTTCTATACTGTAGTTGAAAGTATTTATTGAAAAGGCTATGCTTTTTTAATATATATGGGGTTTTCTTCAGACTAGTTTGTGATTAATTGCAAACAATAAATGTCAAAAAGTATAAATATTAATGGATGTGGGTCTGGGTGTGGGGTATGGGTTGATCGTATTCCACTTAACACCCACACCCTCACAAAGACTATTTTCCGCTTGTGAAACTTTACTTCCCTGATCAGATCCAATTCGATTCTCGTTGAATACAACTCTATTTACTAATTTTTACCTATGATTTTACACATAGTCCAACAGATCGATTAACATAATTACGATCTAACATTTTGCGTGCGTATTAATCCTTAAGCAGAAGTTTATCAAAATTTATAATTTTAAGCTGAGTCGTTGAACTTATTTTTCAATAATATATTTGGGATTTGTCGAGTTTCGGGACTGTCTCGCATAATTCTATTTTACACTGAATAGATTTTTTCTTTCTTCACCTGATTCTTTCGAAAACTTTCGGAATATCTTAT